TAACAAGTAAATCATAGGTTCGAAAATCTGAGCCGACACTTTTTAAAAACCAACATTTATTTTTCACGCCATTTCTTATTCTACAAAATCTTAAATGCAATTAACTATCATACAGAAAAGCAGACGTAGACGTAATGATGCATCTGGGCACATGATCCTCATGACAGACGAATTCTTTAGGGTTGCCACAGAAAGGCAGTGTGTCGCCACAATTCTCCCACCTTTTGAGTGGATGGCTACACTCTCAAAACATAAAACTTACATCAATATAAATGAGGGTTACATAACAAAGAAAATTACTTAATACTTAAATCATATTATTTGAAAACAAAATTAATACTAATGAATAATACAACAATAATAGCACAAAAATTAAATCATAATAACTCAAAGACATGAATTACATTGTTCGTGATTTTACAACTCTACCACTACTGGTGGTGAAAGGAACTTGATCATTTTGAGTATTATCTATTATATTATCCAGTTCCAATCTAAACCATCTCTGTATTGGTCTCAAGAACTCTGAATTATTACTTTTTACAAGAGCAACTCTTATGTTGCCATCTCGACCAGGGATCACCCGAATAACGCGTGTTAAATTCCAATATGCATGGTTTTTATTTTGACCCTCCAGCAAGACAATTTCTCCTACAGAGAGAGGTTTATTTTTGTAATTTTTGGTAGACTGCTGTCTTAACTGCCCTAGATACTCAGAGCGAAATCTCACTCTTAACAATTCTCTAATTCTCTGGAGATACTTTGCTCTTCTACTCAATTTTTCTTTGTCCACATTGTCAATATCAGGTACACCCGACTGTGGAGTTTCATGCAGAAATTTTTCTGGAGTTAAAGGCAAGGGATCTTCAATGTCGTCAGACACGTACGTAAGTGGTCTTGAGTTGACAATTCTTTCACAATCACACAAGACGGTGAGTAACTCTTCATAACCAAGAGAAGCACGACCTAAAATTTTTCTCAATATTTGTTTTACAATCTGTATTAAACTCTCCTACCATCCACCCCACCAAGCGGCGGATGGAGGATTATATTTCCATCGTATTCTCTTTTCAGCAGCTTAAGAGCAGAGGCAGTCCCAGTCAATGGTTTGCAGAACTCTCTCTGCACCTACAAAATTTGTCCCATTATCGGAATATATGGTGGTAGGGCGTCCACGATGTGCGATAAAACGCCTTAAAGCCTGAAAAAATGATTCAGTTGTTAATGAGGTAACCAGTTCCATATGGATAGCACGATAAACCGCACACTTGAAGAGCACAATATATGATTTTCGTCCATCCTTTAAATGCAAGGGTCCATCCAATGATTTCAAAAATGGCTGAATCACGAACCCTATCATTCGGTAAAATGCCTGGGACTATCTCACCTCTTTTTAGGCTTAAATCTCTGACATCTTACACTTTTTCTTATACAGTTTCTTATAGTTTTACGTGATTTTAAGATCCAGCATGTTTCTTTTAAATGCGATATCAAAAATGTAGTACCTGCATGCAATAACTCTTTGTGTGCACTTAATATCAATAATTTGACTACTGGATGTTCCAAGGTAGGTAATATGATGGGGAACTTAAAGCTGCTAGAGTCGTCACAATAAGCAACATTAGACTTAGCTCTTATTAGACCCTGACTATCGACGAATGGTCTGAGTCGTCTTAGCTTATCATCTGTTTCACCATTAAACGACTCTTTTGTATTAATAACATTAAAGCTATTTCTCCCCCTTTCTATTTCAGATACAGTCAAATCCTTAGAATGGTTGTTATTATTATTCTTACGTACATTATTATAAAATCTGAATATCCATGAAACATTCTTTGCAATTTCTTAAATGATGAGAAATACTTATAGTACCATCCAATACAATTATCATTCTTTACCAACGTAACAATAACTGTCTTACGTATTTCTGAATTAACTAAATCCTCATCTGGTTCATCATTAGATTTAGGCCAATTTCACTCATCTTCTAGTAAGGTCCCTCCTACCATTTTCATTCTATTAATTGATCTGCATAACAACCTCTAGAAAGTACATCAGCAGGATTGAGACTATCAGAGACATGTTGCCATACAGTGGGGGAGGTTAAAGATCTGATTTCTTGTACACGATTAAAAATGAATGCTCCCCAACGTTAATTTTGCCGTATCCAGCTTAAAGCCGTCGAGGAGTCAGTCCAGCAGTGAATATGAACTTCATGTAGGCCAATATCATTAATAGCTGAAGGCAATAACCTAGAACCAATATTACAAGCAAGAAGTTCTCTAATCGAGGAATCGTAATAGGTTTTAAGGCGCTGTTCTCGTCTTGCATTACCAAACTAACCTTCACCTTTTTGCACTCTGTACTCTTAAAAAGTTGCATGCACCATACGCACTTTTACTACTGTCACAAAAGAGATGTATACTCACAGCTTCATTAATAGATTTGAGACCTACCCTTTTATGCTGATACAGTTCAACTTGTTCTTGATTATCCCTACTGAACCACATAAATCTCAAAAAGTCTCAATGTTTTTCCCTCATAGATATTTGCAAGAACGCTTTTTCTATATCTGAAGTGACACCAACGTAATTCTTGCGAAACCGATTAAGAATCAAAGGTATAATTTCAATTAAATTTGGTCCAGTAGACAAACAATCGTTCAATGATGGGTAACCAGGCGAATGAGAACTTGCGTTAAACACTCGTGCTGCTATTTTCTTTAACAATCGCTCTATGAGGTAAATAATGTACACCCTTATATTTATTCTTATCTGGTACTTTTTCAATTATCACAAGTGTTAACCAGTTCTGGAAAACGTCTCCATAAGCGTCAAAATTTCCCATAGTCATTAATTTTCTTTTAGTACTTACAAGACATTTTTCTGCTATCACTTTGTATTCGGGTAAAAGCGAGCTATCCGACACCCAAGGTAATGCTACTTCGTACCTTCCCTCTGAATTTACCGTAAGAGTCTCTTCAAAATATTTTTGTGTGTCCTCCTGTAACTGAGTTTTGGTTTTACTTACGGAAGGTTCACTAATACCCAAAACATCTAACTTCCAGAAATCACTTATACATTGACCCTTCACTAACAGAGAAGAAATTAGGAGGGATGCAGTATTTATCATAGTTGGCTCAGTGCCAGTAAATTTACCCATAACAGTCCATCCTAACTGCATATGCACCACGTTGACGATGACATTACATGGACCATTTTCTAAATCACTTAATAATTTGATACCATGTGACATAAGTTCGTGTAATCACGAACCAGATGAGAGTTATTTAATTTTAGAACATTAATGGACCATTTGTTTTTATTTTGATACATGTGACTTAAGTATCTAACTAAAACAGATGGGAGTTGCTTATTTCACAAATTTGTTCGACCAATACCTTTACTACATATATTGCTTACTTCAATAACCTAGTTTTTACACACATTTTCTGAAGTCTCAACTCCACCAAAAAGAAATTGCTTAACTTTTGATTCACCAATAGACTTACAATTTAACTTCTGAGCAACATCATTACAGAAATATGATTTCATAGAACCACTATCATAAATTGCTCGTACAAACATCTCTTTGGAACCATTCTGAATTTTTACAATTAAAGTTTGAAGATATACACCTGATACGTTAACATAGTTATTAAGAATGCCTGTTTTGTTTTCGTCATTCCCTAATTGTGACACTTTTTTTTTTGTTAGAGGCAAATCAGGCACATAATTACAAATGTCGTTTTACATAAGGTAACCTTGTTTAGCTGTACACTGATTTGCTCTATGGTTTTTCTTAAGGCACACAAAACCAACATTCTTTTTCTTAATGATATCTTTCTTACTCTATAAACTCATTAAAGATGTATCCTTACAACTTTCAGACAAATGGGATTTTTCACAAAAAATACAAATATCAGACTTTTTATACTTTTGAAAATTATCATTACACTTACTACTATTACTCAAATCATCAAACTGATGCAAAATAGTGTATCACCTTATGTTGCATGCATCAGTGCCAAAAAAACTCAACAATTTTTTGCTCATTTAAAAGAAATCATTTGACAGGGAATTATTTGCGTCCACTGTGGTATTTTTATATAGTCTATGATCTTATCAAATGTGTTTGAATAATCTTATGGCTTTTGATGTCAGATGCATTGAATAATTGTTTTATCCACTAGCTTTTATATAAAATTAAATTAATTTTCATAATATGACTCTCGTAACTGCTATTGCTTTTATATGTGAAAATTCAACTATTTTTTAAATAAAATAAAACCCTATTTTGGAAGAATAATTATTTCTGTGGAAACTACACACAAATATGTTAAATTTTATATTCAGGTGTTAACAATTTAATGTGACTTAATGACTATCTGATCAGTGTGTGCCCTGATGTTGATTTAATTAAAGTGTAGAAAGCCATGAAATTTAAATAAACTCCTTCCACCATATATGTGAAACAAGCAGGATAACCACATACTTGGCGAAGTGAAGGAAATCTATGATGTTAAACAATGCGTAAAGAATGGCCAGGCTGCATGCCATATATCAAACATGTCTATGCCTTTTCTTAAAAAGGTCTGTTAAATTATGAATACACAAATAAACTGACAACAATAATCCATTAAAATAAAATATTCATGATAAGATTGAAAAATATGTAGCACCACGTGTCAATGTATTTTTCAAAACCCACGTGCCGAGTTGGTTGAAAACCAAAGACATGAGGTGGCATACCAGCAGTACTATTTTAAAAATATAAATTCCCAGATATATTTATTTTGCTAAATAAAGATCAATAAAATAAAATAACTACCTTTTTTAATTTTATTTCCCAAAGTGGAGAATTTTATGTTCCACCCTATATAAAACTATGACTAACATTTTGTTTTCCTAATTTTTAAAAAAAAGTTTGAATTTTTGGAGGACATGTAATGTTGTATAGTTATTAAATGAGTAGATTATTTATATTTCTGTATATTTCAGCTCTGCATTCTGGAGAAATAGCTACAATTGAAAGTATTCCATCATCAACAGAATTTCTTAGAAGATGGGTTTCACATAATATACCTGTAATAATCAAAAATGCTGTTAGTCACTGGCCTGCTTTAAGAAAATGGAATGCATCTTATTTGAAGTAATTCTGTTTTTATCTCATAAATATACAAATATTCAGTTTAATTAGAAAAAAATATGCTATTTTTCTAGCAGTTATTTTCCCCTGCCCTTTTTAAGTATGCTTTTTGATTTAAGTCTATTCTGTGTATCTATAAAATATTAGATATTTTATATGATATGAAATGTTTATGATAATTTTAAAGAGAAATTTTTGTTATTTCCTTTTTTAGTATGTGTAAAATATCAAATATGTATAAAAATTATAATATGTTCTATTATATAGCAACATATGTTTTTTTAGATCCAAACTTGGTGGGAAGCCAGTAACTGTTTCTGTTACTCCCAATGGATATGCAGATGCAGTATTTTCAGATAGGTTTATGTTACCAGAGGAAAAAATTATGACATTTGAGGAATTTTTGGACATAATGGAGAATCCCAAATCATCAGAAGTCTGTTACATACAGAAGCAAAATAACAGTTTTCTTGAAGAATTTAGTAACTTGATTGATGATGCTGATACACACATTCCTTGGGCAACAAAAGCATTAGGTATTAATTTTAAAATCATTAAGAAACATGTATGAAACTTTATTTAAAGTAACTAAATCTAAAATAATACAGTACAAAGTCATTAATCCGGATTCATCGGGACTTTGGCGATTCCGGATTCGGGGTTTTTCCGGATTATAGATCATCAATTTAAATCTGGTAAGATGGCATGCAGAAATCATAAAATTAAAAATATGAAATCATAATTTATGAAACAAAGAGCAATTATAATCTAAAGGGTATCGAAATTTACAAAAAAAAAAGCTTAATATTTATTTGTTTACTTTATTAAACATTTCTTTCAACGCATGCATGCATAAAGTATACATTACGCATAGTTGAAATTACAAAATTGCAACCAAAAAACAATTTGATGTGTATTCGTGATATTTATAATGACGAGGAATTTGATGTAAATCATATCAGAGGAGTACATCGAGATGAAATACTACATTTAGTAAGGAATTATAAGCTGAATAAAATAAAAACATCTGCCCTGAAGATAAGGATAGTGCTGACAGATCAACTTCCAGTTCATTGCGTGCCGCGACGTCCCCCCCCTCTCCCCACAGAGCAGCGTGAAATTGATAAACAGATTTCGGAATGGTTAGAGAAACAAAGGATATGCCGTTATCCATTTTTTGCAGCAATTCCACTTTTTGTTTGATGCACATCGAAACATGCTTTCGCTTTGTAGATCCTTTGGCAGCTCTAGGATCGGAAACTCTTTTTGACATAATCGAAAGTGATGCAAAAGCAAAGTTTAAAGTTATAAAAACATTTAGCAGAAATAGTAATAGAAGCTCTCTAAGGTTATATACTATGCAGACATAGAAGACAAAAGTTTTAAACTTAACCAATTTATTAACAATATATATAAAAAATAAAAGTACAATAAATTTAATCCACACCAGAAACTTAAAGAGTGTAACATTATCATAAATTACATTTAGTTGACTATTCATTAACCCCAAGGGGTTTTCCTTTAAAGAATATTACACTATTAATGATACAGCAAATATATTACCTGATCTTTGAATACTAGCATTCAATACGCAAAAAGCATATCGCAGAACAAAAACTATGCGGTTAATATGAATTTCGCTTCACTATAAATAGGTCCATGCTTTTTGGCCAAGAAGGCACCTGAAAAATTAAACTAAACCTTGAGTGCACTTGAACTGGCAAAAGCCACTCACTGTAGTTGCTCACAAGAGATCACAGCTTGGAATTTATCGCGTCAAACCATAGAACAGGTAGCCACCTGCGGCAGTTGCTCACTGGAAATCACAGCTTGTTATTTGACATCCCTTAACTTTGAAAACAGGATGCCGCCCACTTCAGTTGACCACCAGGAACCACAACTTGAGATCTATCGCCGCCAAATCATAGAAACAGGATGCCACCCACGGCAGTTGCTCACATCGTAGCCGCTTTGCAGAATCCAGGAAAAATCATCATGGACTGAAACCATGGTACTTATCTCTGGACAACACGCATCGCAATAACGTCTTCAAATGAGTGCTGGAACGGCACACCAAGGAGCAATAAAACAGGAACCAGAAGGACTAAGCCAGAGCGATACGAGATACTTATACGAGAAGTAGACATGACGTCATCTCACGGCAACCAATCAGCTATCGGCACGAATCGGCTTTCCAGATGACGTAACATCAAGTTTCGTTTTTGCATCTTAATTAGGTTGAAACAGTCCGTTCTCAATGCAAACAGTGGCAGTGAAAAAGAAGTAAAAGTAACTACTATACCTTTTAAAATAAAAAACTAAACCTAAAAATAAATTATTTCAAGGAGGAGAGATGATGCAGAAAAAGGGTTACAAATAAGCTATATTTTCCAACAAATGCCCCCCCCACATCATCATCTCCGACCTGAAATAAAAACTGAATGCCAGTATCTTTTACAAAATTCAAAACAAGAATAATAAATAAAATATCACAATTTCATTCAATTCAGAAATTTTTAAGAAAATTTGGAACATCTTATCCCATTATTCAAAATTTTTACCATAACAAAAGTCCAACATGTTACAAAACAATACAAAGACATATGTATGATCATACATTCATCAACATACATTTACCCAGGGCCCTGGTCACTCATACAACATTCTACACTATACATTTTACATTTACCTAATACTCATCATAATGACTTATATATTATTTTCAATATACATCAAAAATTAAACATCTAAACAAAACTCTTAATTTACACACAAAAACAAATTTCATAAGAAAATTGTTCCACAAAATCTTATCAGGTTATGCTTAGTCAGCGGTTTTGTCATGGGATCAGCCAGATTATCTTTACTTGGAACATATTTTAAATCAAAAATTTCCCTGTTCAATAGATCACGAATGAAAAATAGTTTCACATCTATATGTTTTGTCCTTGAGTTTTCAATGGGTGATTTTGTAAAACATATAGCAGCCATGTTATCAGCAAACAATATTGGTTTTGAAACATAGTTACTTGCAATTTTAAACTGAATGCATTCATCCAAAATATTTTTAAACCAAACTAATTCTTTTGCTGATTCAGTCATGGAGATAAATTCAGCCTCCATAGTAGACAAACTCACTCCCCTTTCTTTAAATGTACGCCAAGATACAGGTGATTCTCCCAACAAAGCTATTTGTCCACCAATAGACACCATATCATCCCTGCTTGAAGCAAAATCCGAATCTGAATATATATTGAGCTTCAGTTCCTTGCATACCAGTTTAAGTTTGTGCTGTCTGGTATTGGAAACGTATCCCTAAAAGTTTAAGTAATCCTTCCCAGTGAAACTTCCCAGTGAAACTTACCAGGATTGCTTTGGAACTGAGAAAATATATTAACAGCATAAGCTATATCCGGACGAGTACGATTGCAAAGAAACGAGAGACATCCCAAAACATTTCTATAAGGATAATTCATCATTTCAGTCGTTTCTTCTTGTGTACTGGGACTTTGAGACTTTGAGTATTTCACACCTTTAACTATTGGAAGGGAAGTAATTTGTATTTTAAAAGACTTGAAATCGATCAACTATGTCTTCTATATATATAATTGCTGATGAATTAAAACACTATTGTTCTCATATTCAAATTCCACACCCAAAAGCTTTCTTGTTTTACCCAAAAATTTTCAAATCAAAATGTGAACTCAGGACTTTTAATATCCTTTTAGGCCTGAACTTCACTTTTTCCAAACACAACTATATCATCAACATAAACCAACAGAATGACAAAATCTTTAAAACGATAGACACAATTACACCACTCAAACTTGATAAACCCTAGGTTACATAGTGTTCTATCCAACTCGTAGTACCATAATAATCGCCCACTCTGATGCAGAACCATACAAGGCTCTATCTAAACGACACACAAAAGTTTCTTTATCTCGCTCTACAAAACCCTGAGGTTGGGACATGTAAATTTCCTCTGATAAAGGAGCGTAGAGATAGGCACTTTTTACGTCGCATTGTATATTTGCCCATCCAAGGTGTGCAACTAAAAGGAGAGAAAAAAGAGCCTTATTACTGAAAAGTTGACTACAGGAGAGTAGGTTTCATCATAGGTATCGTATTTAATTTGCCGATAACCCTGAGCCACTAAACGAGCTTTAAAACGAACAATGTTTCCAAATTCGTCACGTTTAATGTTGAAAATCCACCTGCAACCTAGTGGAGTCTTGTCTTTAGGAAGTGGAACAAGATGCCATACCTTATGCTTTCGCATGTTGGCCATTTCCTCTTCCATTGCCTCTATCCATTTAAGCTTTTCTGTGGATTTCATTGCCTGGTTATAAGTGTTTGGAATTGAAACCTCTAGTCAGCTATCTCGGGTATATGACGTTGAAGGAGTGCCAGTTGGGTCGATTTCACCACTATAAGTATTGCTTCCCTTGAAATCAAACAAGGTAGGATCATACTGAATATTATGTTCAGTGCAATACCTTTCTACATCATTTGGTGATCGTAGTCTTTGATTAGACCCCCTCTCAAAATAATACACATCCGTACGAGTGCCGTCTGGCCTTGGAACAGGTTTACGAAGCCAAGTTACTTGTCTCAATGTAGATTGAGTGTCAGTGCCAATTGTAGAAGAAGGTACATTGGTATCGGTTCTTTCCTCTATTTCAGGAAAATAGCCAACTGGAGTATCAGTAGATTGGAACTCTACCCTTTCTTCAGATTCCAAATCAGGAAGGGTGCCCAGTGCAGCTCCACTGCCACTTTTCTGCATTCCAATTGACTCTTTAAAAGTAGCATTTAGGGTTTCTACTACCTTTTGCTCATTTTCCAACCAAATCTTGTACCCTTTTGTTCGTACACTGTACCCAATCAATCGGCCCTTCGTTGCCTTTGGATCAAGCTTAGAATTTCTTTTAGCCTTTGGAATTCCCACATAGGCAATCGTTCCAAATGCCTTAAGGTGACGTACTGATGGTTTCCGCTTAGTGTACAATTCGAATGGGGTTCTATCTTGGCCCTTATGACAAATTCTATTAAATGAATATGCAAAATACATTACGGCATCTGACCAAAATTCAGAACTCATTCCACTATCATGTAAAATTGCGCGTACATTGTTGAGAGCTGTCTAATTGAATCTCTCACAAACTCCATTCTGTTCTGGAGTATATACGTCTGTAAATTCGTGCTTTACACCATTTTTATTACAATATGACCTGAATTGTTCATTATCATATTCTCGCCTATTGTCAGTCCCAAAGTATTTCAACTTAAGGTTCAAAGATCTTTCCGCACGTGCTATATGCCTTTCAAATACTTCAAACACCTGACTTTTCTCCACAATGGGGTACACTACCACATAACGAGAATATTCGTCAATAAAGGAAACGAAATAACGTTCACTATTCCTACCTGGAATGTTAATAGGTCCCCATACATCAGAAAAACCCTTTCAAGCGGCCTCTTTACTTGAATACCTTCTAAGGGTCTATAGGAGATTCGTCTTTGCTTATTGATTTGGCAATGTTCATAAAACAAATTAGGTGAGTGCTTTAACACAGGAAGACCTCGAACTGAATGTCTCTTACTAGTCCTGACAATAGCATCATAATTTATATGACCAAACCGACCATGCCATAATTCACTATTGTTATGCTGAACTGTGGATGCCTCACATTTTACAGATTTGCCCCCCTTTTTCACTATTTTCGGGAATACATGATAGTTACTTCCTATCAACTTAGCTTTGTACAAGGTTTCATTTTCATCATCAGTAACTTTAATTTGCCCATTTTTACCATAAAATCTTGCTCCATTGATATCCACCTTAGGTCCAGATATTAAATTTCGTCTCAGTTCAGGTGAGTATAAAAACATCTTTAAGCAAAATAACCGTATCCCCAAATTTCATTTTAACAGTACCCTTCCCATGAATTGGAAAAGTTACCCCATCAATAGCTACTAGCATATTCTCATTTTTCACAGGAGAAAAAGTATCAAACAATTCACGATTTTTACAAAAATGATGAGATGCAGCAGTATCAAAAATCCAACTATCATCATTTTCCTCCAAAATTGTTAACATTAGCTTGAGCTATAAAATGGGACTGAGCATGGGAATTATTTTTACCTTTACTCAACTTGGGTTTATTCTTACACTTAGATGTTTTATTACTACTAGATACAGCTGAGGAAACAGAAGAAGCAGGCGAGGGTGATCTGGAAAAATTACCTTTCATTCTACAGTATTTTTGAATATGACCTGGACGGCCACATTTATAACACTTGAGCCCTTTAATCTGCTTAAATTTGGGTTCACAGTGAGTACTTTGAACTTCTATAGTCTTATTGGAATTTTCCCTATCTATCTCTCTTAAATTAAGACGCGTTTCCTCTGCTAGTATTTCAAGTTCAACATTTTTAAATATGAACTTTTCATCTGGCCACCTCAAAACATTCTGAACTACTTGATCATATTTATCTGGAAGGAACCTAAGAAACTGAAAACATATGTATATACATCTCTTACAGCCTGATTAATATCAGCTAATTGTTCAGTTACCGTTTTAATCTAGAAGAAAAGAAACTAATACTTTCATTTGGCTTAATTTTACAATTTAAGAACTCTGAAAACAAGGGACTGAAACAAGGACATATGTCTTGATCGATAATCTGGCTGGAAAGTATTTGGCAAGCGTATTCCATGCCAACTACCGGGTCATCAATTTCACATATCAAGTTTCTATATTCAGGGCTTACATTCATATAAATTAAAGATAATGCCAATCGACTTCTATTTTGATAGTCGGCAATAATTTCTTTTGTAATACCCTTAACATCATTTAAATCAGGACATTTTTCAATACCTTTGACCAAAAGCCATGCATTTTTCTTCATTTAAAACAAACTTCATATCTTTAGGACCATGTAAAATAATTACATGCATCAAGTTTAGCAATATTATGCATAACATTAACAGTAGCCATATTTGAATTTTAACAAAAACCGCCCCCCCCCAATCTCTTAAGTCCTAAATTAACTTTAAACTTCAAAAGTCTGCACTAAAATAACTCAGGGGCTGTGGGCCCATAACCAAAATGATGCTAAAGCAAAGTTTAAAGTTTATAAAATTAAACATTTAGCAGCAGTAGCAGCAGTAGCAATAGAAGCTCCCTGAGATTATGTGTTGTGCAGACATTGAAGACAATAAAAGGTTTTCAAAACTTAACCAATTTATTAACAATAATAAAAAAATAAAAAACACAATGAATAAATTTAAACAATATCAGAGTCTTAGGAAATTATAATATAACCATCATTATCAAAAATTTCATATATTAAATAGTATTTTGCCTGGTCTCCAAAATACTGGCATTCAATACGCGAAAAACGTATCCTAAACAGAAATTATATGGTTTCAAATGAAATTAGCAACACTGTCAATATATTAATGATCAAGAAAGCACTTGAAAATTAAATTAAGTCCTTGAGAGCACTTAAATCCGGCCTAACTCCACTCACTGTAGTTGAACCCGAGAAATCATAGCCCAGTAAAACATCGCTAACTTATGTTAAATGCCGCCTTCATGAAGAACATGAATGCCGCCCACGGCAGTCACTCACATTGTAGCCTCTTTTGAGAATCCAGGAAAAGTCATCTTGTAGACTGGAACCAATGAACTTATTCAGGAAAAGTCATCTTGTAGACATGAATCAAGGAACTTATTCAGGAAAAGTCATCTTGTAGCCTGGAACCTTGGAACTTATCCCCAGACTGCACGCATCGCAAGACGTCTTTTGATAGGGGCTGGAAACCACACACCCAAGAGCTAAGAAAGCAGGAACTAGAAGGAATGAGCCAGAGCGACGCGAGATACTTATACCAGAAGTAGGCATGACAAAACATCTCACGGCAACCAATCAGCTATCGGCACGACTCGGCTTTCCAGATGACGTAACATCACGTTTCGTTTTTGCATCTTAATTAGGCTGAAACAGTCCGTTCTCAACACAAACAATGGGAGGGAAAAAAAAGAAGTAGAAGTAACTACTATATCCCTTTAAAATAAGAACTAAGCCTAATAAATATTTCAAGGAGAAGACATGATGCAGAAAAAGGGTTACAATAAGTCATATTTTCCAACAATAATGCAAGACCACATGGGTCTGTATTCACTGGCTGGACTCTGTATGCACTCGAATGGGATCTTTTGCTACACCCACCATATAGCACCGACATCCCTCCTTTTCAGACTTCTACCTTTTTTCACACCTGCAGCTGCATCTTGCTTCTGGTATCTCCCATTCTGCAGAGTACATCCAAAATGAGCTTGATCTGTTTTTTGACTCTCAGCCACCAAGTTTCTGAGATAAAGGCTTTGAAAATGGCAGAAAATCATAGATTTTGTGTTGATTACTACCCACATTAAAGGCACTGCTTTCATTTTTTTTTTTTTTTTTTTTTTTTTTTTTTAACTTTATTAGGGATGTTTTGTTGAAAAACTTTCATTACAATTAGGTATTTTAAATATCTATATAGAGGGAGGTCATAAGTAGCTGAAATTTGAGGTTTAAAATAATATTTAAAAGTTATATTTTCTTGTTAGTGTATATAAATTTTGCTTTTCTTTTTATAGGAAAACTTTGGATGATACACCTCCAAGATTTGATAAAACACTTGAAGATTTCTTTTCAATTTGCAATCAAATTGAACTGCATCTGGTAAAACTCATTTTCATAGTATTTTTATTTCAAATATAATTCTCACCTGTAATTATTTTTGGAAGTTATTTAATATCTGTGTAAGAGTGTAATATTTTTAAAATAAAAATTTCTTTTTTTAGAAGATGAATATTATGTTATGATATTGTGCATTTTTACAATCATGTCCATAAATTAAGGATAATTCGGAGTCACGCGAAAATCGAACACTAAAATAAATATATCACCTGTAAAATCACTACACACATCTTCAAGAATCATATGCAAACTTCAGGAAGTAACCAGATGACACCGATGGTACGTCACAATGATAAAAGTGTAAGAGAGTGATATATAAGGAATACAGGCAAAGAAGTAAAATTGTTCGCAAGCGCTTTATAAACATTTCAGTGCAATAACCGAATAGTTATGACACAGAGGACGCATTTGGATGATTTCTTACGTGGTAGAATTAACTGCCATCTGGAATGTGGGCGTACCCTACTGGAAGTATCAGACGAACTTGGAATTGCCCAGAGTGTCATCTCCAGGCTTTGGCGATGATTCCAAGATGATGGTAATGTGAGTAGACGTTACAGAACAGGTTGCCCCAGAGTTACAATGCCGAATGAGGACCGGTATTTGGCAGTTACTTCCAAAAGAAACAGGTGGAGCACAGCCTCAGACCTGTCTCGTCAGCTCTCTTCAGCCATTGGTGCGACAATTTCAAGGCAGACCATGTACAGATGCTTAGAGCAGATTGGTCTATATGCTCGTAGACCTGTCAGATGTGTTCCAAATACTGCACTTACTTTACACTGTCACCTGCGGTTAGCCTGGAGTAGAGAGCATGCATTGTGGACACCGCAACAGTGGGCTTATGTGATGTTTTCGAAAGAGTCCAGGTTTAGCTTGCAGTCTGATTCTCGCTGGACTTTCATATGGAGAGCTCCAGGTACCCGTTACCACCAAGAAAACATCATTGAACGACACCGTTACGGTGGTGGTGCTCGTTTGGGGTGGAATTATTCTGGGTTCCAGAACTGACCTGTATGTTCAAATTGGAACCATGACAAGCCAAATCTATCGGGACGTCATTCTGGAACAACATGTACGTTTGTTTCGGGGCACCATAGACGCACAATTTGTGTTTATGGATGACAACGCCCGTCCTCACGGTGCAAACATCGTAAGCGAATGCCTTCAATCGGAGGATATCACCCGTATGTATTGGCCAGCATTCTCTCACCGGACTTGAATCCAGTAGAGCACTTGTGGGACATGCTTGGCCGATGAGTTGCAGTCCGTCAACCTCCTCCTACATGTCTACCGGAACTTTGGAGAGCATTGCTTTTTGAGTGGTGTAATATTCCCCAAGATCAGATCGATAATTCGATACTCAGCATGCCTAGGCGTTGTACGGACTGTATTGCATCGTCTGGGAAACCTACAATGTGTTAACAATCATACCAACCATGTAATATTTGCTTTTTGTAAATAGGTGTTTTTTTTTTTTTTTTTTTTTTTTTTTTTTTTTTTTGTAATTAGCTCCAAGGAGAAAAATTGCTATTTTTTGTAATAATATCAAACATATAGCATCTTTTTTTGCTCTTTACCTTATGTTTAATAAATAAGCTTTACAAATAAGTCAAATTTGTTTTGCTTCTAACTCTTCCTTTGTCTGATTTTGCATTTTCCTTAATTTTTGGACATGAGTGTATATTGCATCCATGAAAAATGAATAAAATAAAATATGAGTCTAGCATCATTAATAGGTACACTGTGTGTCTAGAATTAAATTCATTGCACAAAAAAAGGGGGTAATTGGAAGGATGAGAAACTTTATCAGCATTTAGCCTTCTGTATGTATTTCTTCTATTACTATGTACTCCTTGCGATGTTAAATAATCTAGAACATATGGATGTTTTGATGGAAGCAATTATTGAAATACTCTATCATTTTCTTGTTGCATTCTGAATTTTTAAATGCTATAAGCATGATTTTTTTTTTTTTTTTTTTTTTTTTTTTTAATGTAAAATTTCAGTTTAGGAAAGAGGATGTAGTCTGCAAGATGCCAAACTAGTAACAGGATGATTAATAACTTTTAAATCAAAAGGTAACAATAAGTTCACTGTGTGAAGGGACAGCTTAAATCTGGTACTTGATCTAGCTGTTCCTGGTCTAATGTAATGATTTCTTTTTGAAAGTTCTGTCTGTTGCTTCTTTGCAAAGCAGGAATCTATACTCTTCTCCTTCAAACAAAAATTTATTGTAAATTAAACCCTGTGAGCTAAAAAAAGAAAAATATTATTATGTAGTCCTTACTTAAAGCTTCTAAAAGTGAAATTTTTCTGGCTGAAGCAAGATGACTATGCAGATTTTTGTTGGGTTACCTTTAGATTACATGTAAAAGCATATATCTCTAGTAATGATTCGTGTAAAAGATTTGGACTATCTGTATGGCATTTCATAAATTCATTGTCACATGTTTTTCGGCCTTTGCAATCCATAATATTATCAGATATTGGTTTCATAATTCCACTTCTTAAATTCTTTCTACTAGATATTTTCTCACTGTGAAAAATTACTAGTTGACAGGTTTAGTAGTCTGTTTCAGCTTACTCCTTTAGCTGTTTAGATCCACTGTTTGTGTATGTATTTACAATATGTTCGCATTTCAGACCAAAAATAATAGATTTAATTTTTCAAGCAATCGTTTAAAAAAGTGTTAACTTGAACTTTATCATTATGAAGAGCATTGAGCTCATCAGTGATAAAATCCTTTGAACCTGGATTCAAATCCATGTGAATTGGGCGGCTGCTTGAGAGTTTTCATGGTTTCCCCATGTGTAAAATGAATATGAGCTAGTTTCCCTTAAAGTGTCATGCATGAAGCTATCCCTTCCCTAAGGCAAATAACCCTTTAGTGCTTTTCCATAATCTAAATAACTTTAATTCTGAAGAACAATGAAACAATTTAATTTTTGCTTGTTCTTTGTTAATTTCCTGCTGAAGAATAAATTAAATTTGCGAGCTTAAGAGATTAAGTTATTAAATCATTATCTGTGGCTATTATTACAATGATGAAAAATTCACAGAAAAGTACATGCCCCTGAATCCTGTGGAATGATGTTTGCAAGTTTAGCCTCACATTCATCATTAAATTGGCCAGTGCTATTTTTAAAGAATGACGCTAAATTACAACTGCAACATTCCAGAATTTAATGAATAAATAATCTTGCTTTGGAGATGACATCTGTTTCAACTAAAGGTTGACTGACTCCGTATTAATGTCTCACTTATTTGCAAACTAAGCATATCAAAGTGTCTGGATAATTTGATACATATTTTCTAGGAGCAGCAAACCTTCTAGTCTTTTCAAAGACTACAAAGAGGACACATTAAAAATAATGTTGTTTTTAAACAGTTATATATTCTATTTAGAAGTAATATTAGGTCGCAGGGGTTGAATGGCTAGAATAAACCACTTAGGTGCCATTAAAAAATAATGATGGCATTTAATGTTTTACACTGTTTAAAAAAAAGCATTAATATTAATTCATTTATAGTAAATACCACTAAATATTGCTGTTTTTATGATAGTTTATCTTTCATGCTGTTTAAAAGCATGCATTAAAATTAGAAATAATTAATGTTAGGTAACAGATTATTCACATACGTAGTTCAAAGTAATGTATCTATGGTATGAAATTTCTCTGAAATGTCCAGGTTTCATTTTAATAATGTGAATATGTCATTTATTATCAGAATACCATTGTTTGCTGAAGTTTATTATAGAAGTCTCCACCCTTTTTTTAATCCAATTATGTTTTTGTTTAAATAGGTAAAAACTTGATATTGTATGTAATTTTTTCCTGAATAGAAGTGGAAATTTTTTTTGTAACCTTTTGAGTCAACTCTAGCAGTAATCAAAACCAAAGAATTAATATACTACTTTTATTACTTTAATGGATATTATTTAAACTCTACAAATAAAAATAATTAATATTGAATAAAATATAATTTGTTATGATATCAAAAATGTGTATATTCATGAGTTAGCATTAATAAAATAATAAGCTCTTTATCATAGTCCCGTTGAACCTAAATTTCAAGTTTATTGGAGTCCAAAATCTTAAGCTAGATAAATCAAAGGTCTTTTAATTCAAAAAAAGGCTTTGAAAATAGCATTTATAGATTACAACATTATTATTACTATAGCATTTTATAGATATAACATATTCATAGAATACATATATAGGTTGTATATAAATATTTATTAAACATTTAGAAGTTGGGAAACAGAGATACCTATTATTTACAAAACTGATTAAATCTGTTTTGTTTCCATAGACGCTTTGTTGACAGTTCATTTAATAATATGGGTGATATTGTGATAGATTGTAAAACATCCTTCAACACTGATAGCCTCACTGCAGAGACTGTAAAATATTATTCATTCTCATTACAAAAAAAAGTTTATATGGAGTTTTGGGAGGAGGGCATAAAATATCTCTAAGGACTAAATTGTAAAGATTCTAGGGGTAACTAATTGAATAGCTTTTGAAAATGCTGTATATTCCATGAACAATTCTGTTATTTTCAGCAGTTCCTCATCTCCAACATTTGCTGATTCGCACTTCAAGCTCCCATCTAATGTATAAAGATTTAAGTAAAAAGCCATTCTGTGCATCAAAATGTTTTTCTGATCATACTGAGCTTTTTGCTTTGCCAAGAAAATTGTATGTGCGTGTGTGTATAATGTTAATATTCTGAATTATTTGAAATTGTATTGGATTTTTATTCCATGGTAATTTTCAGGATTTCTCAAATGGGGTCACAATCACCCCTGACTTTTCCCTAAAATTGACAATAATAATTTAATTTGTTAAAAAAAAATACTTGTAAAAAATTTGGCCAGCTAAAGAAAGAATGAATAAGAGTAAGTTTACAGAGTGAATCAGAAATATGGTTATGTATTTTGAAATAAATGTAGTACATAACCATATATTGTAGATGGAAATGATGAGTAAATATTGAAACTTAATTTTGTCAGGTCATATAAGAATCACATACCTAAGCCTGCTTTATTAGCCAGTATTAGAATATGCAGCAGATAATTATATAAGCATGTGTGCAGTTGTATATTAAAATAATTATAAAGGTACCTGACACTAAGGGTAGAATTTTTGTCATCAACTCTGCAGAAATGGAAAAAACAGCTTTTTAGAGCTAGGAATATCCAGAAAAGGAATCTCTTGGAAGAACTTGCAATAACCGAAGGAGTGACATTGATAGTAATCGTAAAAGCATCTTTGGAAGTATAGACAAAGAAATGAACTAGTATTGATGTGTATTGTTCTTCAGTTTGAAGAACTAATTTTCTAGTGGCACTGTCCATCTCAATTTCCTTAGCCATAATTCGGTTAACAGATAATGCAATCACATATGTAATCATATTTTGGATTCACCTCATACTATAAGTAATGGAATGCCTTAAGGCCATAATTTCTATGTATGTTTGTAGTACAGTGGGACCTCGAGATACGAGCACCTCTATATACAATAAATTCAAGAGAGCGAAAACTTTGTCTCTAAATATGAGCCATGAGCCAGGCTGTTGGTATGTGTGGTGCCATTTCCCGAACCATATCCGACTGAAGGAATTCCCTCGTCAGATCACTCAGTGTGCTTTGGTCTACATGTTTGTACGCTTGCGAGTTATATTTAACATGAAAATAATTATTTCACGATGCCTCTCAAGAAGATTGTTACCTCAGATAGTGCTGCAAAGAAAAATAAGAAAGCCATGGCCGTTGAAATTAAGAAAAAAATCGTATATAAACATAAGTATGGTGTAAGAATGACAGAATTGGCAAAGACTTACGTCCTTTCAACATTGACGATTTGCAGTGTTCTGAAGAAGCAGGAAGAAATTAAGAAACTTGATGTAGTCAAAGGAATTACTGTTACTTCCAAGCACCGTCCAAAACTCCTAGAAGATGTTGAGAAGCTGATGTTGGTGTGAATTAATGAGAAGTAGTTAAAAGGACGGTGTCAGAAGCTATCATATAGGTAAACTATGGTTATATTATTTACTAGTGTTATTTATTAGAAAAATTGATTTTTATGTTGATATTTTTTGGGAGTACAGAACGGATTAACTAGATTTCCATTATTTTCAATGGAGAAGTTTGATTCTAGATACGAGCTCAGTGCTGGAACAGATTAAACTCGTATCTCCAGGTTCCACTGTATCTTTATTCACTTAAAGGAAACTTATTCTTTTTCTAAAATTTCTTATTTCAGAAAGCTATTCAAGAATGCATTTTGCAACAGAAAGATAGTGTGCAGTATTTACCGCTCCATGTCACCCTTGGAAAACAAGATCCTTCAAGCGGGCCATCTCAAGATGGTAATTTATCATATACGCAATACTTGAGTACAATTAAAGGACAGGTGAATTTTGCCAAAGCAGTGCAAGAAATGCTTGCTGATGGTGCAAGGAAAATAACACAGGCTGAATAAATTACTGTAAATTATTGTTTCTGTGTATGTTTATCCAGAAATTAAATATATCCAAATATTTGGTAGCACGAGAAAAATATTTTAGAATTAATTTCATTCATAATTTTTCATATTGAAATTCCTTTTGGTAGATAATGTAATTTTTTTTAAAGAAGTATGAATAATTTCTCTCTACGTTAATAAAAAATAATAAACTTTTTAAATAAGGAAAAAAAACTATGTATAAAACTGGTTTTGTCTTTGTTTGTTTATGTGCTTTCCTTTAAAAAAAATATGTTATTTTAAAAGTGTTAAGTGTCCCTTTCTTTATAATTACAACAGTTCATTTGTCTCAAAAAATAAAAGAATTATAAATAATAATAAAGAATTTGTGTGGGTGTATGTATTTTGCTCACATTATAAAAAATGGTAGCATTTTATAGCCACCGTATTTCAAGCACACACAGGCTGCCACCTGAACATGTACACCTCAAGCTCAAATTTTAACTTCAGGTATATTTTGTGCAAATGTTACGAATTAGATTTAAAACTCAGCTATTTAAAAGATATGTGTTGCTTCTCAGTAAAACTTAGATTTATGCTTCTAATTTTATCAGGAATGTCAGTGATATAAAGTGCTGCCACACAGCAAAGCACAATATATTCATCTTTCAAATGCTATAGATAAATTCAGTGATTTATAAGAAAGGTATTGCCACTGCCAAAGTGAAATATCTTTATCTTCCCTTGTATTGCCGTTAAAATATTTATTTTTCTTTCCAGTTTATTCTATTCATTATTTCTTTCCAGTTTATTATTATTATTCTTTCCAGTTTATTCTATCTTATTTAAGAAACTAAGCAATTTTTAAAAAAACGTGCAGATCTCATTTCTTCTTTTATTAATTACTAGTTCATGCACAAGCTGAATTCATTCAGATTATACGAGTATATTCTTCCTTTTTTACAATAACTATTTTAAGTTAATTAATTTTAAAATTAAATTATAATATCCATTGTATATAAATAGTAAAATAAACATTTGTAAAAGATTTCCTGTGAAAGCTTATAGAAATATTATGCATAAAATTTTAAATAGCATTTATAATTATTGTACAAATAATAATTTAATTACATGAAACATTTGAAGTATCAGTCTATCAAAATGAAGATTTTCCTGTGCAAAAATAGGTATACCCTTATTTTTTGGTAATTCTGATCTCATTTATAATTAAAATTAGTTCATTAATGAGTGTAAAAATTAAACAAAATTGGCAGTTATTGTTGTATGTTGTTATTTATTTTACAGTTTGTAATGATACTGTATTTACTAGATTTAATCTAGTGTTTCGCTATTTTTCGTAGGAGTGAAATACTTAGTTAATCAATCATATTATGAACTGCTAATGAATCAGTGAGATGTGCAATGCCTTTGCCAACCAGTAAACCAATCCATAGTTAAGGATATAGTAAATTCTGACTTAAAAACCTTTCTTTGAGAAATAATTACAAAATAGTGAGCATTTTCTTCAACTACTACAGGACTTAAACAGTGGAACTTCGTAACTGAACAAGAATTTATATCTATCTAAAGAATTGAAGAGAAAGTATGAGCACAAGAAATGAAGCAGCTTAAGCAATTTACATTCAAAGGAATGCTTAATAAAGTAAACAGATAAATATTAAGCTTTTTTTTTTTTTTTTTTTTTTTTTTTTTTTTTTGGTAAATTTTGATCCCTTAGATGATAGATGCTTCATAGATTTAAACTGATGATCTAAAATCCGGAATCACTGAAGTCCTGACAAGTCCGGTTTTCGGGCTTTGTACTATATTAGTGCTTTTATTTTGTGACTTTTTTGGGGGGAAGGCAAAGTTTTTTACAATTGCATATTTCATTTTATTTTGAGATACTGATGTAGGTATATATACACTGGTGTGCAAAAATTAAGGACTAAGTCGATAAATTAGCATATCAGCTGAACGAAAAGGCAGAGCGGACAGAAAGACCAATCAGGAGATTAAGTAAGGTGATGTACGGTAGCACATGCGCAGATATGCAGGTAGACGTAATGGGGGAGTGTCTGAGTAGTATAAAGCATGTTGTCGGTGTAAGATCAGTATTTCTGACAAAGAGATTGCACGCCGTATAGCAGTTAAAATCACACCGAGTTGCTGCCTCAGCGAGAAATGGCGAATAATCAATCTGTTAGACGACATCTGGATGCTTTTACCCGAGGTCGAATCATTGGGAAGTTGGAGGAAGGCCGCAGTGTGACAAGTGTGGCTGCAGAGTTCGGAATTGCTCACAGCATCGTTTCACGACTTTGGAGACAATTTCAAACTACAGGAACAGCTATCCGTGGGTTTAGTAGTGGTCGTCCACGAGGAACCACACCCGCAGATGACCGGTATATTGCCTTACAGGCCAGAAGAAACAGGCGGCAAACAGCGGGAGAAATCGCTAGACACACGACACAGGCGACTGGACGACCGATATCGCGTTTTACCGTGGCCAGAAGACTGCACGGTGGTGGTCTGTTTGCACGACGCCCTGTACGGTGTGTACCTCTAACGCCTGCCCATCGGAGAAGGCGTTCTCTGTGGTGCCGGGAACACCGCAATTGGAGAGACAATGAATGGGGACGAGTACTCTTTACAGATGAGAGCAGATTCAGTCTGAGTAGCGATTCTCATCGCATACTCATCTGGAGAGAGCGGGGAAGCCGCAATCATCCCTCGAACATCATTGAAAGGGAGTATGGAGGTGGCGGTGTTCTCGTTTGGGGAGGCATCATGCTTGGTAGTCGTACAGACCTTCACTTCTTCGACGCAGGTTCAGTCAACGGGACCCGTTATTGTAACGAGATTCTTCTTCCATATGTGCGTCTTTTTAGAGGCCCTATGGGTCCGCAGTTCCTTTTCATGGACGACAATGCACCATGTCATCGCACAGTAGCTGCCGAACAGCTCTTAGAGAGTGAGGATATTGAACGTATGGATTGGCCGGCACGATCTCCGGATCTTAATCCCATCGAGCATGTATGGGATTTTCTAGGCAGACGCTTGGCAGCTCGTACTTTACCACCAGTAACGATTCCGGATCTTCGATTGGCGCTGCAAGACGAATGGGCAGCAATGCCTCAACAACTCATTGACACCCTCATTCTCAGCATGGGCAGACACTGTGAAACCTGCCTAGCAGTCAGGGGAGATCATATCTCCTATTAAAGACCGGATGTTTCTTGCTGGACACCCATCACAGGGATGTTTCGGCCTTCAGTCGCATTGCGCTCCATGCTACTTTTTCAATAAAGCTTCTTTTTATCCCTCAGATTTCTCTTTTAGTAAGTGTTGCTTACATTACTCATGCCCTTACGTATTGGGGATCTTACGGTATTAAATGTGTTGATTTGGAAAGCTTTTGTACAAAGTTATATTGAAAAAACCGTCTCGTCCTTAATTTTTGCACACCAGTGTATATATAAATGTGTGTCTTTGCCTTAGAAAAATTTGATTGTAAAAGAAAGGTGCTTTATTAATCATCCCAATACCTTGTAGATGTAAAATTAGTCTAAACACATTTGTATGATTCATTCATACCTCTAAGTAGTGTACAATTGTAGGGTTAAATATAACTGAAACAATTTAAATGACAGATTGAAAAAAGATTTAAAATTCTGTAGACTTGCATTCTGTGATGAAAAATTGCTCATCTAAAAAAATTTTTCACTCGCAATTAAACTTGCCATTAGTGAAAAAGAAGTAAAGGTTATTAAAATTGGATAGTGTATTTATTGAGCAAACACAAATTCAACACCGTTTTATATTAGTATAATAATAGTGTAATAATTTTACACTAGTGTAATAGTTTCCGCTTGCATCAAAGCATGAGTAAGATTTTTCATGTAGTGTTAACACAAATCGTGCCTGTCGGGCACATGTGACCAACACTTCATTAAGTCATTGGGAGCCATGTCAGCCAATGGCTGGTAACACATTTGGATTTTAACCACAAATATATTTATGTCGTTCTCTTTTTCTCATGCACTATTATTATCAAATATCACTGAGTATGGTATATAAATATGACACTATGGTACTGCACTTCTGCTGTTATAGCCATTTGTTAGTCTGATAGTGCACATGCGAGGCTGTCTGTTGAAGGGAGGAGGATTTTGATGACCTTTTAAGGGAATATGGTTCATATTGACATCACACATGGTGAAAACGGCTGTTTATCAGTATTATAGCATTGTTCACCGAGTTTATTGGTAGGTCAGACTAACGAGAACTCATTCAAATATCAAATACACTGATGTCCATTAATTAAGGATAATTCGGAGTCACGCAGAAATAGAACTCTAAAATAAATATATCACCTGTAAAATCACTACACACATCTTCAAGTATCATATGCAAATTTCAAGTAGTAACCAGATGACACCGATGGTACGTCACAATGACGAGAGTGATATATAATGAACACAGGCAAAGAAGTAAAATTGTTCGCAGGCGCTTTATAAGCATTTCAGTGCAATAACCGAATAGTTATGACACAAAGGACGCATTTGGAGGATTTTTTACGTGGTAGAATTATCGGCCGTCTGGAATGTGGGCGTACCCAACTGGAAGTATCAGACGAACATGGAATTGTCCAGAGTGTCATCTCCAGGCTTTGGCAACCATTCCAAGATAATGGAAAAGTGAGTAGACGTTACAGCACAGGTCGCCCCAGTGTTATAACACCGAACGAGGACCGGTATTTGGCAGTTACTGCCAAAAGAAACAGGCAGAGCACAGCCTCAGACCTGTCTCGTCAGCTCTCTTCAGCCACCGGTACGACAATTTCAAGGCAGACCGTGTACAGACACTTAGGCAGATTGGTCTATGTGCTCGTAGACCTGTCAGATGCGTTCCACTTACTGCAACTCACTGTCGCCTGCGATTAATTAGCCTGGAGTAGAGCGTATGCATTGTGGGCTTGTGTGATGTTTTCCGACGAGTCCAATTTTAGCTTGCAGTCTGATTCTCGCCGGACTTTTATATGGAGAGCTTCACGTACCCGTTACCACCAAGAAAATATCATTGAACGACACCGTTACGGTGGTGCAGGAGTGCTCGTTTGGGGTGGAATTATTCTGGGTTCCAGAACTGACCTGCATGTTCAAATTGGAACCATGACAATCCAAATCTATCGGGACGTCATTCTGGAACAACATGTACGTTTGTTACGGGGCGCCATGGCTGCACAATTTGTGTTTATGGATGACAACGCCCGTCCTCACCGCGCAAACATCGTAAGCGAATGCCTTCAATCGGAGGATATCACCCGTATGGACTGGCCAGCATTTTCACCGGACTTGAATTCAGTAGAGCACGTGTGGGAGATGCTTGGCCGACGA